GGGGGGGGGGGGGGGGGGGGGGCTCCCAAAATGAAGAGGCCTTAAGCTCAGGCAGGCTTCGGGGTTCGGGGTGCAGCTGTTGTCTTTATTCAGTGTCCACAAGAAGCATTCCTGTTCTGAAACTCACGCGTCTTCTTAGTCCCTTTGTATCCCCTAGAACCCCTGTAATACTGTACTGTAACCCCCTTAAGGTTTTGGTTGCTTACTGGTATTGTTAACAGTTCCTGGTATTGCTGTGATTTCTGCAGTATTCGTGTTATGATTACTGTTGCTATTCTCAAGGTCAATAACGATCATTATTGTTGGCGGGGTTGGTAATAGTATAAGTATAAGCTCCATGGTTAGAAATGGTTGGAAATTTTGTGTTTTTTCTCTGGAACCCTCCCACAACCAACAAACCTATAAACCCAATAAGCCCTATAAANNNNCTAAAAACCCTATAAACTCTGTAAACCCGATAAACCCTATAGACCTTCAACCCCCAACCACACAAACCTTAAACCCCCAAACCCAAACCCTAAACCCAGAACCCTGCAAACTCTATAAACCCTCCCAAACCCTCCCAAACCTCAAACATTAAACCCTAAACCCCCAATTAAACCCTAAACCCCTTAAACCCCCTAAATCCTAAACCCCCTAAACCCTAAACTCCCCAAACCCTAAACCCTAAACCCGCCTCTTCCTCGGGCGTCTTCTCAGCCGCCTCCTCGTCGGCCGCGGCCTCGTTAGCTCGGCCTTCCGAAGCCTCCGAGCCGCCATCTCCTGGGTTTAGGGCTTAAAGCCTTTTTCTACCCAGGGTTTAGGGTTTAGGGTTTAAGGGTTTAGGGTTTAAGGGTTTAGGGTTGTTTAGGGTTTAAGGCTTTAGGGGTTTAAGGTCTAGGGTCTAGGTTTGGGGCTTATTCTTTTAGGTTGCTTTTTAACAAGGCTTCAGTAGGGTTTTGCGTACGGTGATTATCTGATCACGTTCCCTGCGCTCTTCTGAATAGGGTTTGTAATGAGGTTTGTATCCGGCTCTTCCATTGGGTTTAGGGTGTAGTGCTTTGTGTAGAGTAGTTTTTTCGGATTTTAGGGCTGTTATAGCGTCGCCACAGGCTTTTCTTTGGGTTTACCAGCTTTGCTGGCTTTTTGTAAGGTTTGGGAGGGCTGCGTTGATCTTCGTGGGGCTTTTGTGGATTTAGCTGCTACTAGTGACCACAGGGGGCAGTGGTTGTGATTTAAAGTCCCTCTCTATATTGTCTTTATAGCACCACGTTTATGTGAAGTCCGACCCAAGTACCTGTTTGTCTTAAGCTACCATACTACGGGAATGATTAAAATGTCCATGTTATGGCTAGTTTGAACTCAGCTCCCTAACTCCTTGTAAGACCCAAGTCTTACACAGACCCTAAACCCTAAAATTTAGAGTCCTATAAAAACCTATGAAAGTGCATGATTCCTTAACAAGGCCCCAGTCACCCACTTCGGCCTCCTCATCCTCCACCTGAAGGGTATCGGGAAAGACGCGGCCTAAATTCCAGGACCCTTGACCCTAAACCCTTTTTGCACCAGTTTAGGATTTGGGGTTTAGGGTTTAGGGTTTAGGATTTGGGGTTTAGGTTAGGGTTTAGGATTTAGGGTTTAGGGTATGAGAGTCATCAATCCGAAGCCCTCAACCCTAGCCTCCGACTCTGAGCCGACCCGCACTCGTTCCGGTCCCTTCGCTCGCGTGCCCTTGCTCAAGGCCGGGATGTAGATCTCCCTCATCATCACCTGGGGTTTAGGGTTTAGGGTTTAGGGTTTTGGGCTGGGCTCTGGAGGTTTTTGGGCTCCGAACCCCTTTTTTGGAGCAGGGACTGCAATGCACTAAGCCCTGAATCTCTACCCTAAACCCAGATGAGTTCTTGAGGCTTGGACTCTCGCAACTCTCCCCAGGCTTAGGGCTAAAGGTTTAGGAACCTAAGATAAGAATCGCGACTAAGCACCACAAATAGCAGAATTCGGGGTGTGTGGGATTTTCTGAAGGCCTTTGTGGTCCCGTAAGGTTGTTTTGGGTTTCATCACCTGGCGGCTCCTGAAGATTTGGGGTATGGTTTCTACTGGAAGGTCTTGGCAAAAGGATCCCGCTATTTGGTTATCTTGTTTTCTGCAACTCCCACCTCTAAGTCCCGGAGGAAGGTGCCCTCCACGGTGCCGAAGGTGACCTCCCGCTGAATGGTCGCAGGACTCACGGCACCACCGATATGCTTCATGAAATAAAGGCACATCCGATCCAGTGAGCAGTCGATCATGGAGCCCACTGTGAGCGTCAGCACCTCACGAGAGAGCATCTGAGTAGTATCCCGGTTCAGGGTCTTCGAGCGCCCATAGGACTTCTTGGTCTCCTTCTCCTCTACATCTCCGACATAGACTTCGCTGACGTCTAGGACCACCTCCTCGGCCGGCTCCTCCGCGACCTCGGCCGCAGAACCTTCCTCATCCCCCGTAGGCAGCTCCTCGCCCGCGCCTTCGACACTACTATCTTTGGTGCACTGCTCCGAGACGAGTCTCAGGTAGAACAGGGCAGTCGTGTTCTCTGGGGCGGAGTCAAGAAAGTATGCCAAGTCCTGTTTGGCCTTCTCATCCTGGAGAAGTGCAGCCCACTTCTCGCCCTCCACGGGCAGCACGGCCTGCACCGTGCGCTGGAGCCACGACACTCGCGCGTCGGTCATCGGAAAGACTAAGCGTCCTGCGTCGATGAACGCGCGATGTTTCTGCCTGGTGCTTCTATCGGACCAGACTCCCTAAGCCACTTGGCTTGAGCCGAAAGTACCAAGATGTTTCAACTTTCACAGCTTGGCGGTTCTAGTTTTCAAGCTTTGGCACCACTTGCACGTCAAAGTCTCCACTAGCTCTTCAATAACCCTTCGGGATCGTGCGGTTCTAGCGCACTCCAACGCCCAGCGGCAGTTTGGAGCAGCTGGCCGCCAGGATACCAATGCTCCCAATCACCTGCTGCATCCGTTTAGGGTTTAGGGTTTACGGTTTTGACAATTGCACTTGAACAAGTGAAGGCAAGGGTTTAATGAGGGATCAAAACGTGCTTGGAGGGTTAGCATTGGAGTTGTTGGGGTTGGCAGCACGGACTCAAAACCCGATGGCCTCAACCCTCCATAACTTTGCTCAAAGAGGACCGCTCCCTGCCACCGTAGCAGTACGGTAGCAATCACGAACAAGCTTGTTGGAGGAATATGGATAAGCTTCCGGTACTGATAGCATGAGGACGGGTCTCCGTAGCAACGAGCGACGGGCAAGGTAAAAAGGAATAATGCCAGAGCCTCCTAAGGAGCTGTCACGGGTGAACCGAAAACCCAATCAATAAAGCCTTGAACCCGGGCCTTAATCTTCAGAATGGTGCGTGGGGATATGGTACACATGAACAGGAAAGCCTAAACAAAAGCCTTGATAATTATTTTGGCTCCTCTCTCAGCTGCTTCCACGTGATTCATCGCCCCGCCGCCCAAGAAAAGCTGAGGCAGTGGCAAGGTTCCGCCTGAGTCTCACCGTCGACGGAGGCTTCGGCACCCTTCGTGGCACAAGCAACTGTGTTGAAGCATCTGGGGACTTAGCGATTAAGCTACTCATAAAGTTGAGAAAACCGGACTTACAATCAGCTTGTACTAGCGTAATAACAGCTTTATGTAACAATTATATCTCAAACGTCGCTGGCGGCCTACACAAGTGCAACCTGGACGGCGATCATCATTGTCGCTTTCCCGTGCTGATAGCCTGCTGTCTTATGACAGTTGTCGGTTTGATGCTTCTGCTACTGGCCTGGTACCCTTGATCCGGTGCATGGCTTTTTTCGGGGCCATCGCTTTGTCGTGGGGTTGGCCACACCTTTTCCGGTGGATGAAACCCAGACCGAAGCTGCAAATCACGGGACGGCGAAGGCTTCGGGAGGCACCGAGTCTATGATGACAAGGTCGATAGGGGTTGGTGAAAAGATGACCCAAGGAGGATGCTGCACTTGCTGGTAGACATAGCGATGGTGGTACAAATATTCCACACGACGGTAGCGATGGCGACCACTGCCAAGAAGAAGATGGTGAGGACGAAGATGACGATGAACTTAACGGGCCCCATGCTCGACAGACCGAATGATGCTAGCAATGACGACAAAAGCCAGGACATGGAATGGTGGTGGAGAGAGCGATGGTGATGGCGACCCGTAGTCAGCAGTCGCATCGGCAATGGTCGCAGAAGCAGCCGCGGAGCAGAACCGACGGAGAAGCACGAGCAGCACTAGACCAGCAGCACTCCAACTAAGCAGCAGCAGCAGCAGCAGCAGCAGCAGCAGCAGCAGCAGCAGCGCCCACAACAAGAACACGAGAACAACAAGCAGCGTGCGCAGGAACAACAAAAAAATATGAAAACAGAAAATCAAACAACCAAGCACTAGCAAGCAGGTTGGCGCCTATGGCCTATGATTTACTATACATCCGAGTTCGGCGTGATGTTGGACTTTGCAGCTTCGGGCGGCACGTCTCCAATTTAATTGGAGGCTGCAACGGAACAAAGGTGTGTCCATGAGGTGGTGCCCAAGGCTGTTCGGGTATCATCCCATCATCTTGACCGGGGGCAGGTCTATAGGGTTTCCACTTTCAGGGTGCTGAGGTGAGGAAACAGGACTGAAGGTGTTTCGCGTAATCCCACAAATGGTTGTGCTACCTGCCAGGCTTGCCAGGTGGCAGCGAGTGACTACACGAAAAGTCGTCTGAAGAAAAACGTGAAACCAGTCCAAGACAGACCACAGGAAGCCACACAAAGTGCCTCCGACAAGACATGTTTGCTAGACCTAAGAATCACCTCAACAGTAGTGCTGGCCCTAATTTCAGCATGGGATTCTCGGAAAATTATAGGAACCTCATTATGAGGACCCCTGAATAAGGTACCCGGACTCTGATCACCCACAGCGCTGGGGTTAGGTTTCGGCCTCGGGCACACACCGCCTGGGGCCCGTGCTGGCAGGCTCAAGTTGGATAAAGTCCATGCTAAGGTTCTTGAATGTAATTTTAAAAATGTTAAACCAAGGCTAGGGTTTAGAGAATTTGTGCGCTTTCGGGTTTAGAGCTTCGGAGCTCTGGCGCGGGGCGTGCCGGTGCCAGACACGGGCCTTTGCGAAGCATTTACGTGGGACTGGAGCCAGCTCGCTTGCTGAGGCACTCCTGAACCTGCCTGGTTTAGAGTTTAGGGTTTAGGGTCGCGCATACCTGAACTCTCGCCTGTTTCGGGCACTCCAGCAAGTCGGTGCCTTCCGTCCGCAAGAAAATCGTGGCGTGTCTCAAACTCCGAAGTCTCAACACAGGGCTTCCGAGTATGTAGCTACTAGAACCCCCAAACAGCATCTACCAGTATATGGGTGAAGAATGGGCATGTTCCAGGGCTCTGCGCTGAGATCGTTGAGGGATCTGAGCTACGGAAGTGCTTGTAGCTTAGACTAGAGTCTTCGAGGTGTTAAAGCAAAGATCATACAGACACAGACATGATGGCTTCTTGGCTCGAGACATTCTTCCCAGCTGTGGGAAGGGAGGGACAGGACAATTCTCACCGCCGCTCCCGCCGCACGTGGTCTTTCGCACCGAAAGACCACGTATTCGTCGCCTATGGGGAGAGCAGAAGGGCCTGAAATAGGTTTGGGCCTAGGATTGAGGGCTTCTTGCTTGTGGGGTTTAACGGTTCAAGCTCCAGGATTTAAGGTCATGGCCTTGTCGTCGCTGCAAGTATTTCCAGCACAACCGGAACAGAAGAGGAGAAGAAAAAGGCGGCAGGAGGACTAGTGGCAACTATGATGCAGGAACTGTTCGCGGCTTCTTTAGGATTCCCCCATGTAGTCACGGTATACAACCACCAAACGCTAGTCGAACTATTTATCCCCGATGGGTAAGCCACATTGATCCCCGTTCCGTATGCCAACGCCTCAGAGCCTGAAAACGGCAGCTCTAAACACCAAAAATTAACACACTCTTCAAATCAACAGTAACGCTTCTGAGCAGAACGACAGGAATCGCGGCCCTCTGTAGCGAAACGGCTTCAAGAGTAAAAGCTTGCGGGATTAGCCCTCCGTGGTGGTTCCTCTCGCAGGGCTCGGCGCGCAGGGGGTTTGGGTAGTCCAGGTGCTCGGGGCTTAAGGGCCTAAGGATTTAAGGGTCTAAAGGCTTCAGTCTCTAGGAATTAAGGTGATTCCAACTGTTCCAGCTTGTCCTTCCCAAGCTTTACCTGCCTGATGCCGAACCAGCGATTCAATCGCTTGTTGGCGCATGAAGATATCCTGCGAAGTCAGGCTGCACCGTACTCATCTTCACAATGGGCATGGAACAACCTATTGATAGTTCTTGAGCGCGGCATGCGTCCTTGACACCATAAGCAAGGGTCGTCATGTCGGAATCAACATCTAGGACCCGACTCCAATTCCTTCGTCCACAGAGGCACAGGGAGCTGCAAGTGGGATTTCGAAAAGCTCTTGACCCGTAGAACCATCTATTGAAGCTGTATAGGCTTTTTAGTCAATGTCCCCAAGAAATCAGGTCTTGCAGGCACCTACAGGGCGTGCTGTCACAAGCGAGAATAAAAGAAGACATCGAAATCAAGCTTTGGCTTTAAGGCTTGCGGGCTTAGGGTTTAGACTCTGACGGCCGTGAGCCTGTTTCTTAACAAGTCCCGCTCTGTAAAAAGCTGGGGCCGGCTCTGTTTGCAATGCAAATTTCCGAACTCATAAGATATTCCGACTTTTCCTGGTTTACTGGGTATTGGTCACGATGGATTATTCTTCTATGATTTCTATATGCGTACAACACCACAGTCAGACCAGCAGCAGCAGTAGAAGCAAGACCCTGGAGGCTGTCGGCAACACTGCGCGCTTGGCTGCTCGCAGCATAACAGCGGCCCCTGCTAAATTTGCTAAATGGGGTTTCCCAAAATAGGGGACCCTAATGTAGTACCCTAAATAGTAGGATCCTTATAGTAAGGACCCCAAAATATGGTACCCCTAATTTTCGGAAACTCCCAAATCCTACCGGAAAACACCCCAAGACCCCTCTCTCCACAAGGCCTGCAATACTTACAGGACCAGGCCACCTTGTAAGGATAAGGCCATCAGCAAGATCGTGCACATACTCTAGCGCAACTTAGGACCCAAGGCGAATTCGACCCATTTATGCCTCTGGTCCGCCGCTTTTGAGGTAGAGGACCCTTTTCGAAAACCCCTCTAGAAAACTATAAACCCTAAACCGACCCAAGTGCAATCACAGGCTCCCCGCTGTCATTTCGACCCGGACTCGGTTTCCCAGCACTCGAAAGCGGGAGCGGGCAACACATGTCTGGAACACGAACCTGAGTGCTACAGAGGGGTTTGGGGCTTTGGTCCGACGGGTTTAGGGTGCAGTTGCCTCCTGTCTAGCTAGGACGAAGCAAGAGCACTGCAGGGTGTTCAGAAAGGATACTTGAAAGTTGGCTTTACCCATAGGCTCCCAAGTAGTTCCTTTTTGTGGTATATATTTAGAAGTCTATAAGCTAATCCCAAAGAGGAACTACTAAGGAGCCTACGGGTAGAGTGCAGGGCTTAGGGTCTGGGTTGGCGCCTTCTTGAGCTTGGACCCCTGGACTGTCAAAGCCCAGACCACATAGGCTGTAGGGTTTTTTTTTTCGCTCGCTGCTTCAAGCTGCCATAGGC